ACCTAAACGCTAGAAGTCCATCTCCTAACACCTAAATGCTAGGAGACCATTTCCAAGAAGCTAAAGACTAGAAGACCATCTCCATGAAGCTAAAGACTAGAAAACCATCTCCATGAAGCTAAAGACTAGAAACCCATCACCTATAAGCTAAAGACTAGAAGATTATCTTCTAACAGCAAATGACTAGGAGACGATCTCCTTACACCTAAACGCTAGAAGTCCATCTCCTAACACCTAAATGCTAGGAGACCATTTCCAAGAAGCTAAAGACTAGAAGACCATCTCCATGAAGCTAAAGTCTAGAAAACCATCTTCATGAAGCTAAAGACTAGAAGGCCATGTCCATGAAGCTAAAGTCTAGAAAACCATCTTCATGAAGCTAAAGACTAGAAGGCCATCACCTATAAGCTAAAGACTAGAAGATTATCTTCTAACAGCAAAAGACTAGGAGACGATCTCCTTACACCTAAACGCTAGAAGTCCATCTCCTAACACCTAAATGCTAGGAGACCATTTCCAAGAAGCTAAAGACTAGAAGACCATCTCCATGAAGCTAAAGACTAGAAAACCATCTCCATGAAGCTAAAGACTAGAAACCCATCACCTATAAGCTAAAGACTAGAAGATTATCTTCTAACAGCAAAAGACTAGGAGACGATCTCCTTACACCTAAACGCTAGAAGTCCATCTCCTAACACCTAAATGCTAGGAGACCATTTCCAAGAAGCTAAAGACTAGAAGACCATCTCCATGAAGCTAAAGTCTAGAAAACCATCTTCATGAAGCTAAAGACTAGAAGGCCATGTCCATGAAGCTAAACACTAGAAAACCATCTCCATGAAGCTAAAGACTAGAAAACCATCTCCATGAAGCTAAAGACTAGAAGGCCATGTCCATGAAGCTAAACACTAGAAAACCATCTCCATTAAGCTAAAGACTAGAAAACCATCTCCATGAAGCTAAAGACTAGAAACTCATCACCTATAAGCTAAAGACTAGAAGACTATCTTCTAACAGCAAAAGACTAAGAGACGATCTCCTTACACCTAAACGCTAGAAGTCCATCTCCTAACACCTAAATGCTAGGAGACCATTTCCAAGAAGCTAAAGACTACAAGACCATCTCCATGAAGTTAAAGACTAGAAGACCATCTCCATGAAGCTAAAGACTAGAAGACCATCTCCTACCAGCTAAAGACTAGAAGACCATCTCCATGAAGTTAAAGACTAGAAAACCATCTCCATGAAGCTAAAGACTCGAAGACCATCTCCATGAAGCTAAAGTCTCGAAGACCATCTTCCAACAGCTAAAGACTAGAAGACCATCTACTAAGAGCAAAAAGCTGGAAGACCATCTCTAAGTAGCTAAAGACTAGAATACCATCTCCTACCAGCTAAAGACTAGAAGACCATCTCCATGAAGCTAAAGACTAGAATACCATCTCCTACCAGCTAAAGACTAGAAGACCATCTCCATGAAGCTAAAGACTAGAAGACCATCTCCATGAAGCTAAAGACTAGAAGACCATCTCCATGCAGCTTAATGTTCCAGAGACTATAGTGAGACAGACCATTTAGAAGTTGAAGGCAGATAGGACTTTAGACAGCCTCCCTGGACGTGAACACTAGAAAGAAACTGACTAAATTAAGAGACTGATTAAATGAATGGTAACCAAAGGGCCCAGAACAAAGAAATTAGAGGTCAACTCCAAGGTGAAGGTACACCAGTTTCCAATCACACCACCCGTCTCTGTGCCAAAGTGAAGCTATGGTAGAAGACCAAGGTGAAAAAAAGCAAATCATGAAAATATCTAATCGAATTTAGGAAAATGCTTCTTCCCAAGCTGGACAACTTTGAGGATGTCCTTTAGACACGAGACAAAACTGGAGCTGTTTTGCTAACCGCATCAGCCGCATGGTGACGGGCTCAAACACGTAGCAAACCAACTGGATTTTTCTCCTGTTTAACAACACATTTATGATTTAATTATCAGTAGTTTTAAAAAGTTTTTTTTCCTTTAGTCACTTTCAAATGATTTCAGGAAGCAACGCATTTTTCTTTCATCCACAGACGAGAATCAGTTAATAAATACTTGTTTAAGAACATCAGAATTAAATCTGACAAGAGGGGAACAAGGCAGAGATCAGGAGCCAGATGTTAGCCAGAGCCACAGCAGCTCATAGCCAGGCCCCCAGGCTGTTGACCTGGGCTGACAACCTTTTTATCTCTGTCCTCCATCAGGTTTTGGTTGCAGCTGCAGCATGGCTGGTTCCTCTGGTTCTTTGTGTTGGAGATCTGTTGAATCTCCGTCCAGCTGTGAGTTGCATCAGCATTAATTCTGCTGTTATATTTTGCAGCTCCTTGCATGGACATTTCCCCTGACTCGTACGACTGAGTGATCCATAAGTGACCCGTTTTTGCCGTCCAGGTAAGCAGAATGTGCTCGTGAAACATTGGCAGCTACATGAAATCATAACAAATCTTTTTTCTTTGCACAAAATTTGTTTTTCACATTTTCCTGTAATTCATCGAAGGTTAAAAATGTTCATTAAAAGCGACATTGGGAAAAAATATGTTTCTATTTTGGAAGATAGTGCACACGGACCCTGTTCATATTTTTCTTCCACTCAGATAAAAGGGCTTCAGAAAAAGTATTTGGATTTGGATGCATGCAACCTCAGTTCAGTGATCAGGCGACGACACATACAACACCGGTTAAAACGTGTTTTTCTAGCAGTTTTCAAATAAAAATAACATAATTCAAAGACTTCAAAGTCATGAGGAAGTAAAAACATGACGTTTTTTTTGTGTCTCAGTCTCTCTGCAGTGATGGATTCACCCACAGGTCTTTTTGATGATTCATCCCCCCAGATCCATCCTTTTTCTGCCATTCTGTCCTCCTCAGACCTCCCTGTTGGTCACCCTGCTCCTGCCTTTAGACCTCCAGGGTTCCCCCTCATCCACCATCTCCTCCAGCCAGCTGGAGTTTCAAGGAGGATTGGAGGAATCCTAACAGCAAACCTGAACGCGCACAGACACCTAGAAGACGGCAGTATAGGGGACGGAGACAGGGTGACCGCTGGACAAGTAGAGCAAGAGATAGAAGGAGAAGAGGAGGGAGCGATGGAGGGAGAGGACAACCTGTCGGAGGTGAAGAAGAGGCACAGTGATGCTGCGCTCATGGCTGAGTGGAGGCAAGATGTCCTGAAAGTGAAGAGGATGAAGCTGGAGTGCCAACAGAGGGAGAAAGAGGCGGAGGTGGGAAGCAAGAAGCGTGAGGGGAGGAGAAGAGAGCGAGAGGAACTGAAGGAGCAGCTGGAGGAGGCCAGGGAGAGACTGCAGGCCCTGCAGGAGAAAGTGTGGAGGGCTTTTGGTGAAAAGCACTTGGTAGAGAAGGAGGAGATGAAACGCAAGCTCCGAAATGGAAGTGATGAAGGTGGAGGAGAGGAGGGAATGATGGAGGAGGACATCACTGGAGAGATGTACAACGAGGAGGATGTGGACGGGGGAGAGATGGAGAAGGAATCTTTCTGCCTTCTCTCTGCTTCCCCTTTCGATAACTTCCACAAACAAAAAGAAGAGTCGCAAAAAGAACGAGAAGGGAGGACGGAGCGCAGAAAAGGAGGAGAGTTGGCCGGTGTGATGGAGGGATCAGGCTTGTGGTTGGACTGTGGCGGGCTGAGAGGAGACTGGCTTGGAGGGATTGAAGATGAGGGTGAAGAAGGAGGACAGAAGTTTGCTCAGGCGCTAAAGCTGGAGTTGGGCAGCGCTGTAGCTCGGGTCATTGACAGAGTTCTTCGTCTTTACACGGAGATGACGGACATCGCTCCTTCCTCTCCTCCACCCGCTATCTCCTTTGACCCGCCGGATCCGGGACAAGGAGGGAAGGAAAGTGGAGGCTGGATGGGACTTCTGTCGAGGGGAAGAGGAGAGGAAACACTCAGAGGAAAGGCGGATGGAGAAAGGGAAAAACAGATTCAGAAGCTGAGCAACGGGGACGGCCTTCCTCCTCATCGCTCTGAGCCATCCGATCTGGCAACGCCCTTGGTTGTTCACAGACCACCTGACACACGCAAGGCCTACCCCTTCCTCGGACCTCCTCTCTCAACTGATCTAAACCCCTCTCACCCAAACATCCCCCTTTCTCATCCCTCCTTACCTCGTGCTCCTACTCTTCCTCACCCTCCTCTTTTACCTCCTGTTCAATCCAAAGATCCCTCCTCTGCTGCCTTCCACCTGTCTTCATCCTCCTCCTCTTTTTCATCCTCCTTCCCTGCGCCACCCCCACCCCCACCTCTCCCCCTCCCTTTGCTCCACTACTCCATGCAGCAACTTTTCTCCCGCTCACTTCACCCTCAGCTATCACACCTCGTCCCACCTCGTAAGGACTATCTAGGTTCTGACCCATTCCTGGAGTTCTCGTCTCACCCCTCCTTCCCTCCGATCCCTTTGCTGGGGCGCCTGGAGCCTTCGCTGGCACGCCAAGGAGGACGAGACAGGGACAGGGGGGTGAGAGGAGATGGGGGAATGAGAGGAGGCGGAGGAATTGATGGAGGGGAGCTCTACCTGTCTGCTGGGGGGATATCCTTTTTTGGTCGCTTACTGGAAGAAACAACAGAAGTGTGTGTGTGTGTGTGTGTGTGTTTCCTTAACTGGCCTCATGTTTACACTCAGGAGGGCTTGTCTCCCTGCCATCTGAAGAAAGCCAAGCTGATGTTCTTCTACACGCGCTACCCTAGCTCCAACACACTCAAGACATACTTCCCTGACGTGAAGGTTAGTATCTCATGACTGGACTGAAAATATAACACAATGATAGGAGATGCCCTGATACCAACACCAGTGTCAGAAGTGATGCAGCTTACTTTGGGGAGAGGTTCAGCTCTCAGTTGACGTTAGTGGGGAAATGGCACCAAACAGCGTTGCAGTCGAGTCGTTGAGGAAAAAGTAAGTTCAGAAAGTAGCAGTTCGTGTACAGCGCTCAGCATAAATGAGTACACCCCCTTTAAAAAGTATAAATTTAAACAGCAGCTCAATGAACAAAAGAACAATTTCCAGAATTTTCTCAAGGCTGGGTTTCAACATGAAATTAAGGTTATCTTTTCTCCCCAAGGCTCTTTGTCCTGTCTGCCCACAGAGCGCTTCTCTGCATTTCTTCTGAAAAACTCTATTTTTTACTAACCATGGATTTGATAAACTGGTCATTCAATGCGATCGATAAGACTTTTTCAACAATGAGAACGGAGCAGGGGGCTCCCACATGTCCACAGGGGACGCACCCGATGGGATATATGCTGGATTCCTGAAAGGAGTGGAAGATCATATGCCTCAGCCAGTTGTCCATTGCGGACATCGAAGACGTGTGGATATTCGGTCTGATGATCGCTGGATTTCTCCTGATTGGAGTGGGAGGATATCTGGTTTTCTGGAAATTTGGGAAGACGGGAGCGATTGGAGGGCGACCCGCACCCACGGAAAGCACCATCCGTGTGGAGACTTCTCAGACTGGGACGTTACTCGAGGTGAATCGTAAGCTGGACAATGCTCTAGCTGCGATACCGGTATTAGTGCGCAAAATGGATGTCATCTGGGAGAGAGTCACCGGACGGTGTGGAGATGTTTAAAAACCCCAAATTGGCTTCACTGAAGGACTGGAATGATCAGTTTAAAGACTGAAGGCAGAGAAGAAAATTATCTCAGCCTGACCCAAACAAATTCTCTTTAGCTGAATCTGACGCCCTGGTAGCCTTGAGCTGCAAGCAACTAAAACCCCCACGAAGGAATGTAGACAGATGCTGTGAAACCCCCCCCCGCGCCTTCGGATTGTTGGACTTCAGCCTGGCAAGGTCATCAGCTATAGGAGTCAATGTGCTCTTTCCTTCTCCCAAGATCTCCCTCCCACCTGTGACTGTACATTAGATAAGCACCGTAGATGGCTGCTCTCGCCGGAGGAGACAGGATCCCAGCCCCCCCCGCATTCCTATTGGAACCTCATGTTGTGTTGTCTGAAGTCTGTTGCATATCTGTTGAGGTGTTTTTTGCAGTGCAAAGCTGTCCTCCCTGTGGAGGGTAACTCTGAAGTGCCATTTTTTCCCTCCACCTGAACCAATCCTCACGTTACCCTCTTATCTCTATTAAGGTAGCGCGACTCGGGTTGCGAATGAGCACAGTCACCAATTCTTGTCATGTGTCTTGCCCATGTATGTCTGATCTCTGAATTTTGTGTACCGAAACTCTTAATTTCCCTCTGGGATTAATAAAGTATCTTTGATTTGATTGATTTGATTTAATAAAATAACTTGGATCACAAAATCTTCAATTTTACCTAAATTGGTTGAAGCAAAAATGAATACGTTTTTGGATCACTTTTGCTACAGTATTTTGGCTGATATGTAAAGCTTTGCTGAACTTCTTGTAGCCCTCACCTTTTTGAGTCCAGAAATGATTTCCTTTCTCAGATTTTGCGACAGTTCTCTTCCATGTGGAGCCAATGCTGACAGCATGAAACGAGAAAGGCTTTTCTTTGTAAAGTAACGCCCTTTTATAGACACCTGTCTGCTGGACACCTCTTAAAGTAATCATTAGACTCACCTGTGGTTGCCTGTTAATTAAAAATGTATAGTCTTAAGTGTGGCTTTTCTCCTAAAAACTATAATTGGGGTGGCACCATGGGCTTGAATGGATTTGTTCAGAAAATTGCTTTCTTGTGTGTGCAAATGAAAAAATCTTGTTTGTAATCAATGGCCCACATTTGTGGGAGTGTTTTGTAGTATGTATGGTGTCTCATAGAAAATGTTGATTCTGTAAGGAAACTAAAGGCGTTCTGACAAATGTAGTGGGGTGCACTCATTTATGCTGAGCACTGTAGTTGCACTGTTCTAATAATCACTGATTTTAATTTAGGTAAATTTCAGACAATAAATACATTCACAGCTTATTAGTTTTCATTAGCTGCATTTTAATAGCCGCCACGATTAAGAACAGGGCTACAGAAAGCTCTCTATAGAGTAACACAAGATTAAAGATCAGATGATTTGGTTCTAATCGTGTGTGAAGAAAGGTAATCCACGACAGAAATGAGCTGGATAAAATGTGTATAAAAAGTTGTCGTATCTTAATAATACAAGTGAAACTTAAAAAATTTGAGTGTGGTACAAAAGTTCCATTGATTTCAGTTTGAGATTTATTTATTAAATTTATTTTTTATTTACTTTTATTGCTTGTGTAAAATTTTAACACAATAATAAAACATCAAAACCAGTAGGGCTGCACAATTTTAGGAAACCCGGCGATGCGCAATAACATTGATTAATATTGTGATGATGATATAAATTGCAAAAAATAAGCAAATATTAAAGTATCTTTCCGGAGATTTTCCCTTTCAGAAATTATGTATGATTTTTCAGAAATACGTAAAAGTGACTGTCTTATCATGTTCTGTGATATAATGTAAGCCATACGTCTTTATTTATTTATTTATTTATTTATTTTTTGCTAAGCACGCCCCCTGCTCCGCAGAGCTCCATGCAATAGGAAAATGAGCGCCAACCAGAACTAACTAATCGCGTTAAACTACCGCTTATGTGCGTCAAATTTAAGTAATACCTCAACTGATGCAGAGTTGATGAACTTTTCACAAAGTAAATCTCTAAAATATAAATATATGAGAACATCACATGACATGAGAAGATCTCATATTCGATCTGGGTAAATTTGCTGGAGATATGGCGCCATAACATGACGCCTATCTCCAGCGGTCAATGGGCAATCAGGCGGGGTACACCCTGGACAGAGAGCCGGTCCATCGCAGGGCAAACAGAGTGTACAACAAACTTTAATATTTTTATCTTTATCTGACACAAACTCAAAATAGTGACTATATTTCCAGCTAGAAAACACACCTCTCTCTCCTCCCGCCATTGTTAATCACGCTGTAGTCCAGGGGTCGGCAATGTTTTCCCATCAAAGAGCCATTATTACCCATTTCCAACAGTAAAGAAAACACTGGGAGCCGCAGCAGCCGCGGTGTTGTGGGCGGGGCCTACCCTCAGACAGCAGAGAGCTGCTTTAACCGATCACAACAGGTGACAGCAACCAATACCATTCGCTCATGTACCTTAAAGTTATCTTTCAACAAAAGATAATAAATAAAACAATTTGAATAAAACTGACCCAGAACTTGTAGCCCGTCTGTGTCGACAGTACTTAGATATTTTTCACCCGGTCAGTGGTTTTAATGTTTAGCAGGTGGCGCTTTTTGACGAGTCGCACACATCTCCTTTTAAAACACGTTTAAACTGTTCAGAATAGAAATCCAGGCTCTGTCTCGTTGGATTGTTGTAATTGAACTTTGTGCTGAACTAAACTTTACATTAAACAACGTTGAAAAGGTAAGAAAAGGATCCGATCTATTTGTTTTTGCCTCATTTACAGAGATGGAGATAACGGCGTAGTGCGCCTGGCTCTGGTGTTAATCAAGTTTAATGTTCCTGTTTGCAACAATCTTCACAAGAAGGCAAAACTGTTACATGCCAGGGTTCGCAGTGACTGGACATTTCCCGTGTTTGACCATTTATTTTGATGGAGAAACCTCAAGGCTGCAGATGCGCTGATATTTTTATCGCTACGCACATCGCGGAGGTAGCTACACCAATCAAGAAAAGATTCCCATCAGATCATCTGAGCTGGACACTGAGCTCCGCACAGCCCACGTGAGGTGGACAGCGAGCTGAAGATGTGTAGATTGGGGGCTTGGAGCGCGTTGAAGAACCAGAGCGCATGCGGGAAGATTCCCCCGACTGAAGCGAGTGTTTTCCAAACCCTGTCTCTCAGAGAGACTTGCCACTTAGAAAATGTTCCCTGATTATGAAACTTTGGCTGAATAGCGCTTGTTCCTGTCTCCAACGTGGCGACGCATCCATGAGCCTGTCTGAGGAAAAGTCCAGAATCTCACTTCCTCTTCAGCTCAGAAAGCTCTTATAGAGACACCTGATTACGCACAAGCAGGTGACCTGTGAACCGTTGGACCTGTTCAGGTTTACGCAGACGATCTTTACATTTAGAATTGGCATACAGATAAAAATGAATGCAGCAAAATAAAATATTTTAATTAAATATTCATTAATTATTTTATTTTACAAGCAGAGAGCCGCATTAGATGGATGAAAGAGCCGCATGTGGCTCCAGAGTGCCTTATGGGTAGCCAGCTTTCCAGTTTTATGTTCTTTATTGTGCCTTTTGTTGGAGTTTTATTGCAGAGTTGGGTTTGATGTTTTTAGTCGTTTATTCAGTAATATGACTGTGATTTTTTTGTTGGTTTTAATTGTGCACCACGAGTGAGAGTTATTTTCCAACAAATGGCATCGCGGTGCCTTTCTGTTGTCTGGTGAAGCAGTTTACTGCTTCCCTTGTGCAAGGAAAGTGCGTGTTGATTGGTCAAGTTCATTATGCGAAGCTGACGTTGGCTCCTTCTCTGCCACGTTCTATTTCCTTCACTCAGGATTTTCCTGAGCAGAAAAAAGTCAGAGTAAAGGATAAAATATTTCGGTATGGCTTGGACAAGTAACTCTGATTTGATTACAAGTATGGAAATAGTAATGTGTTAGATTAGTCGTTACCAAGAAATGATGTTATATTCGAGTATCACGTTACAGTTACTAGCATCACTGCTCGGGAACTATTTGGTGGTTGAAAAGACTAACAGCTCAGTTGACTGCAACAGTTCAGATAAGCCAACTGACACTATAAAGCATGTTAAAATAACAAAAAATTGTCTA